TTTTTTACCTTGAAACTTTTTTTTTTTTTGCTGCTGAACCTTTAAGACTTCGCCATCTGATCTTATATATTTGCATAAAACTTTTATTTTAGAATTCTAAAAAAAATTATTATACATAAATATATTTAACTGTTTTTTATATTTATAATTTTTAAAATTATTTTTAATTTTATATTTTTTATATATTATTTAGTATTTAATCGATATCTTCGTTTTATATTTGCAGAAGTTTTATTTTAGAATTCTAAAACATTGTTTTTGATATTTATCATTTTTTACATTATTTTTTTATTTAAATTTTAAATATTATTTAGCACCTTATTTTAATACTAGTTTTTTAGTTTTATTTAGTTCTTTCTACTTGTATATTGTACAATGCTTTCACAAAATTGTAAACACAATCATCCTAACAGAGTACTTTAAATTTAAAACTGAATTAAATGTAAGTAATGTATGTTAAACCTTTGTATTTAATCGATATCTTCTATATATATGTGCAGAAAAGTTTTATTTTATAGTTCTAAAAATATATATAAATATATATTTAACATTGTTGTTGATATTTAGAATTTTCTAAATATTTTTATTTCTATTTTTAATTTTATATATTTTTCTATATTATTTAGCACCTTATTTTAATACTAGTCTTTTAGTTGTATTTGTATATTTTTGTTTGTTTATTGTACAATGCTTTCACAAAATTGTGTGTAAACAGTGTACTTTAAATTTAAAACTGAATTAAATATGTGATGTTAAAACTTTGTATTTAATCGATATCTTTGTTATATATTTACAGAAAAGTTTTATTTTAGAATTCTAAAACATTGTTTTTGATATTTATTTTTTAAATAATTTTTTTATTTAAATTTTATATTTTTTATATATTATTTAGCACCTTATTTTAATACTAGCCTTTTAGTTTTATTTGTATATTTTTTGTCTACTTGCATATTGTATAATGCTTTCACAAAATTGTATGCACTCTCAGAAAAAAAGGTACAAAAGCTGTCACT